CAGATATACATTCTCATTTTACCCAGAGAGACAGAAATATCTGCCTCTACCTGGGATCGAACTCACGGGGCCTCCTGATCATGAGGGCGAGAGCTGCCCCTCTAGGCCACCGCACCACTCCTCCTGCGGGGACCCGTCTTTCTTCCTACCTTGGAAATGTCCCGGAGGTTGAACAGGTAGTGGATTTTGGCCGGCGTGGGCAGGAACCGTTGGACCACGCTGTTGTAGAGCTCCACCGTGGCCTCGGTGATGACGTTGCCGATGGGCTTGACGGCCTCCTCGAAGTTCTGCAGCTTCTGGTTGATCATCGTGCCGAAGATGCGACGGATTTGGGAATCCTGTCCAAGGGGGGGGGAGAAAAATCAGGAAGCGGGAGAACCAAAGGAGAACCCCCCCCCCGCTCCCTGTCTTCAGGTGGGTCTGAGTCAAGCCTCCAGCGGCAGGAGGGGTCTTTCTGGAAGTTCTCGGCGTGCTAGAGGCCCTTCAGGCGGTTGCAGGGCATCGATTGGTCCTGAGGTTAAATCCAGGGCCCCCGGGGGGGGTTTTTTTGGGGGGGGGCGGGGGGGCCCAGCATTTGGGGGGGGGGCCCCCCCCCCCTTGCAGAACCCTGGCCTAAAATGCGAGTCAAAGGCAACGTTTAAAGGAGCCTGTTGAAAACTTGGAACAAATGTTGATTCAGAAGAGAACAGATCCCAACGTTGGGCGCTTTAAGACGTCGGGACTTCAACTCCCAGAATCCCCCAGCCAGCATGTGAGACATTCATATACATGCAGCTCAGAGTTGAATACAACGATCAGATTTTTCTTCAGGTTGCCGTTAAACCTTTACACACAGACACACAGACACACACACACACAATCTGGGCCACTTTCAGAGGACTTCAGTGGTGGGATTCAATTTTTTTTTTTTACTACCGGTTCTGTAGTCATGTGACTGGGTGGGCATGGCTATGTGGTCATGTGACTGGGTGAGCATGACTATGTGGTCATGTGAGCGGTGTGTGTGTGTGTGTGTGTGTGTGTGTGTCAAAAGACACAAACTCACTTTCTGGAGCAGGGGGTTGGACTAGATGACCTCTGGGCGCCTTCCAGCCCTGGATTGCTGTGCTGTTTCGAAGCACCATCTGAATCTGCGTCCAGTGCCAGGGTTTGTGGTCCTTCCTTCCTCTCCTTTTCCACTCCCTCCCCCTCTGTCCCTTTGTTTTTCTTTTCCTTTCAATTTCTCTTTCTTTCTTCCATCCCTCCCTTTTTCTTCCTCTTTTTTTCTTTCACAGCACCCCCACCAACCCCCCCATTTTTGGCCTTGTGGGCCTCACCAGTGGGCCAAACCAGTAGAATACCGCCACTGGTGGACTTCCACTCCCAGAATTCCCCAGCTGGCTCTTTTATTTTCCGCTTTGCCGAAGCCAAGATCTATTACGCTCACTGCATACCCACCATCTATTAAGTAAGTTCCCCTACGTGGATGGCTGGCTGGGGGAATTCTGGGACTTGAAGTCCACAAAGGCATAAAATGGCCAAGGTCGGAGACCCCTGATTCAAGACTCGTGGACTTCAACTCCCAGAATTCCCCAGCCGGCTCTTTTTTTCACTTTGCTGAAGTCGAGATATATTACGCTTACTGCATACCCACCATCTATTAAGAAAGTTCCCCTACGTGGTTGTCCGGGGGAATTCTGGGAGTTGAAGTCCACAAAGTCATAAAATGGCCAAGGTCAGAGACCCCTGATTCAAGACCTGTGGACTTCAACTCCCAGAATTCCCCCAGCCGGCTCTTCCCCGCTTTTGCAAGATATATTACACTTACTTGCATACCCACCATCTATTAAGAAAGTTACCCTACGTGGCTGGCTGGCGAGGGAATTCTGGGAGTTGAAGTCCACACCTCTTAAAGAGACCAAGGTTGCGATACGCTGCCCCACCCAAGTAGCAGCCCCAAAGGATTTTAGCCAGGGGATCTCACCCCAAATTATATTCTACAACAGAGCCCATGCCCAGAACTTATTTCCTTCCGCTTCAACAGGAAGGCCCTGCTAGGTGCAAGAGACGTGAAGATGGAAGCGTGGAGTTTTCAGGAGTTCAGAAGCAGGCAGAGATACCACGGTGATCTTCCTGCATTGGGGCCCAAGGACACACCCCCTCCGTTCCACCCGTGCCTCACTAGCAGGGCCTTTCCTTATCCTTTCCCCATTGCCCCCATCCTGCCCTCCGCCGAAGAGAAGGCGGGCCGACGTTAGAATCAGATGGGTGACCGCTGTGGGAACAACGGGCCTTCTGGAAGTCTGGAAACGGGCCTGTTTCTGGCTTCCAGTGGGCCTCCGGAGTCCAGGGGAGGCTGTCTTCGCCCTCCCAGAATCCCGAGGAAAGCCTCCTGACTCTGGGGAAGGCAAACCGTGGTGCAGGAAGCCAACGGGGCCACGTCCCCCCAGCAACCGGGCAGAGAAACTGGTTGCTGAAATTTTCTGAATCCTGCCCCGCCTTACAGTAGGGAAGGTCATGTTGATGAGGTTGAAACGGCTCTGCAAACGGCTGGAGATCACCGTGCGCCCTCCTCCGGGGGGTCCCATGGCCGCCATCAGGAACATGTCCTGGAATGGGGGAGAGAGAGAGAGAGAGAGAGAGAGAGAGAGAGAGAGAGAGAGAGAGAGAAACCCTCCTAGATCAAAACCAGAAAAGGAAACCCCCCCCTCCGCAGCCCACCTGTGCCGCGGCATTCCCGCTCCTCTTCTCCCTCCCAACTGAAATCCAGAGACACGACGGCCTCTTTAAGACAATTGTTCCGTTCGCAAACAACACGGGGGTGTAAAGAGACACGGTCGAGTTCCGCGCGTGACCGCATTTAACGCGCCTTAAAAAAAAATAACAATGGGCCCGGCAGACAGGCGGGCATTGGGGTCTGGGGGGCGGGTTGCCGCAGTTGGGTGGGATTCAGCCGGTTCACACCGGTTCACGAGAACCGGTTGCTAACTTTCTGAGCCGTTTGGTGACCTGGTTGTTGGAAGAAACCGCGAGGGGCAGAGAACCGGTTGTTGACCCCACCACTGGTTGAAAAGCGGGGAACCAAACCCGTCCTCACCTTGATATGTTTGATGGTTTGCTTTGTCCGGTCGTACCAGAAGCCGTAGTCCAGCCAAAGCCGTAGAAGCTCCAGAGGGGGCTGAGATCCAAAGGTGTCTTTGGCGGGCATGTTGAGGTCATCCATGAAGGTGATCATGCTCTTCCCTCCCATAGGCACATAGACGCCCTTGGTGCGCTTCTCCACGCGGCTCTCGATGATGCTCTGGACGTTGTTGGACGTGGTCTGCGGCAACGGAAAGGGAAGGGGCGGCCTTACAGAAGGGATGGGGGGGAAGACCCAAAGAACCAGGCCCAGGTTATCCTCCACTTACGGCCATAAGAAGGGCCACAAATTTCTGCAAGGGAGTTGTGATTGAAGGAAGAGCATCGGGCAGCCCTTTGCCTTGAGCAGGGGTTGGGCTGGATGACCTCTGAGGTCCTTCCCAGCTCTGTTATTCTGTCATGCTGAAAAGAAGGACTAGGGGGAGATACCATAGCAAAGTTCCAACATTGGAGGGGCAGCCCCAAAGAATCAACCTACTCTCCAAGAAAACGCAAGAGAAGACGCAACGGTTGGAAACTAATCAAGGAGAGAAGCAACCTAGAATTAAGGAGGGATTTCCTTAACAGCAAGGACAATTAACCAGTGGAACTGCTTGCCACCAGAACTTGTGGGCGCTCCATCATTGGAGGTTTCCGAGAAGAGACTGGACAGCCATCTGGGAGTTGTGTGCTGACTCTGGAGCCTCCAGAGTCTGGCAGCAGCGAGGCAGAGGAACAAGGGGAGCCTATTCCCAGTGTGCGCACGCACAGAGCTGCCAGAAGGCAAGAGCAGCTAAGACAAAGGGGCGACTTGGGAGTAAGGCTGGGAAGCGATTGCCCCTCCCCTAAGGGAGAAAGGAAGTGCAAAGGTGGGAAACCCTTTGCAGGAAGCAACGTCGTTCGCTCTGATCGTTTTGGACTCTGAAAGCTCCATGGTGAATTTGTTCTCCGTTTGGTTTTGGGAAGGCTAATTGGGACTTTAGTCGTTGGCAGCACTTCAAGTCAGGTAAAGGTGCGTTCTTATCAAACGTCTCTCGAAGAACCTTGGCAAATGTCCCTGGGACTAATTGTAACTGGTTAAGACTCATTCCAGGCTGTGAATGATGATAATTCACAGCCATTGAACTAAAATAAAAGAATTCTGGATTTTATGTGTTTGTTGGTTTCTTAGGAAGCCTTGGCCAGAACAGACGGGCTAGATGGCCTCCCAAGTCCCTTCCAACTCTGTTATTCTGACCCATTCTTTCCGTCAAGGCTACCCTCTTGCCCTTGTTTGGGTCCAAGGGCGCAGGTGGGGCCCTTACCTGGGCGGACATGTTGATCACCAAGATGGCCCACTTGAGGCTGTCCAGGGATTGAAGCACCCCCTGGGCAATGGAGGTCTTCCCCGTGCCCACCATACCCACCAACAACACCGGCTGTTGGTTGGCGATCAGGGCGTTGACGAGGTAGTTGTACCGCATGGTGTCCACGGTCGGCACGATGATCTTGTAGAAGGGGACGCTGGGGAGAGAAGCGGAGGTCTCAGCTCAGGACCCGCGCTCAGCCATCGCCCAACCCTGCGCAGATGCGCCCGCCCCGCTCCACCAGCCCGAGTCCCGGTGTGTGTATGTGTGCGGTCTTTTTCCAAGGTAGCCCTAACGGCTATGCCGAAAACCCTTGTCAAGAGGCAGAAAGACGCCTGACATAGCACACGATTCCCGCAGTTGTCATCCCCGCTGGAGGTTGTAAGCTTGGAAGGCAGCCGCTGCTATCAATGCTGTCTGTCGTTGGGGGGCGGCGGGGCAACTGGCCATCCGTGGCCACTCGGGGACTATGTCCCCCGGTAATTGCAGGCTGCTGATCAGATTAGGGGTAAGTGTGTGTGTGTGTGTTTGTGTGTGTGTAAGCTGTTGGCTTAAATCACAGAAGCTCGGCTGGAAGCCGTGAGGGACGGCGGGGGAAGACGGCAATTGTGAAGTTGTGTGAGGTTTCCTGGAGGCCGGAAATTGAGAAGGCTAAGCTGGTCACGAAGAGGGCACATATGTCATCACTGCCTCCTATGCGTAGTCCTCAACTTGCGACCCCACAATTCAGTCCGACCTTTCCATTGTTGAGCGAAACAGTTGTTACGCTGAGTTTTGACCCAGAGTGAGGCATTGGATAACGGAGTTTTGTGCCGTTTTACAACCTTTCCTGACACCATTATTAAGGGAATCATGGCAGTTGTTAAGATAAGTCATGCGGTTAAGTGAATCTGGCTGATCCCCTGTCTGGAGGTCGCAAAAGGGGATCATGTGACCCCCTAGGACGCTGTGACCATCATAAATGTGAGCCAGTTGCAAAATATCCAAATTATGATTATGTGACTATGGGGAGGCCGCAATGGTCGTAAGCGTGAAAACCAGTCTTTTTTCAGTGCCGTTGTAACTTTGAACGGTCACTAATGAACGGTCATAAGTCGAGGAGTACCTGCGCTGTCAGGACACTAGTGATGAGGGAAGGACCCCCAAAGAACATCCAAGGACCACCGTTGAGGGCAACCCTACCCAACTTTCTTTGCTATGGATCAATCCAGGGTTGTCCCTCGACCAACATTCTGTTTTCTGGACCTATTGCGGGGAGACTTATGAACCCCAAACCCATTATATCCTCTTCCTCCTCTCTATTTCCCATCCAGCAGTTTCCCCCACGGTAGGACCACCCGCTCGGATTCCCACCCATGGAAAAGCAGGTCCACCTTCTGCCCATCCAGAGTTTCTGGCTTTCAAACCACCTAGGAGAACGGATCCGAGCGGGGTTGGTGCAGTGCATTCCTTAAATGCTGCAGATAATCGCTCTGGCAGCCGAAGCTGTTGGCACGCAAGATTATTACTGGATTAGCGTGATTGATGGCTCTTGGCTATGGAGGTGTCTCATTGGAGAATATACATCCAGGGGGTGGGAGGAAGACTAAGATCAAGAGGGTCTCCAGAGCCCGGGGGAGGCAGTTTTCGCCCTCCCGGAGGCTCGGGAAAAGCCTCCGGAGCCTGTTTACCGTTTTCACCCTCCCCCCCGCCCCAATCGCGGTGCAGGAGGCCAACTGGACCACAAACATCTTAACAGGGTAAGAGAATCGTTTGCTGAAATTTTTCAAGCCCGCCCGTGGATCCGGGTCCCTGGGAGGAAGGCCGTCCTCCCCGAAGGCCATTCTTCCACGTTCTTGAGATGTTGGCACCACAGGCCGGAGGGTTACTCACTTGGGAGGGTATCTCCACATCTTGGGAAGGTTGTCCTCGAAGGCAACCCACTGCTTCCTCTTGGGGTCGACGTAATACTCGTAGACGGTGTCCTGGGGAGGAGCAAGCAAACCAGCAAGGAGTTACGTCAGGCGGATCGTCTCGCCGCCCGCTTTTCTCGACCGATCCCGGACGTCCCCTGAAAGCCAAGCGGAATCTGAGTGACCTTGTTAGGGAAGGACCCCTCGATTTCCCGCAGGAAGTTGTCGATCTTCTTCCGGCCTTCCTCGTCCACGGCGGCACAGAGTGACCAGATCATGCTGAAGACGAAATACATCTCCACCAGGATAGAGTAGTTCTCCGTGTCGGTGAGATTCAGCTGGAAGGAACCGAGACGAGACGGTCACTTAAGCCACCGAAGCCCACCAGCCATTGCCCTAGAGAGGGACGGGGGACAGAGATGGACGGACCACGCCCATGGCGTGGAAGGTCTGATGGAGCACAGGGAGTCCTCCACTTACAGCAATCCGCTTAGTGACCGTTTGAAGTTACAACGCCCCCCAAAAAGTGACTTAAGACCATTTTTCACACTTTACATTGGGAGTACCCTAGGGTCACCTGATCAAAATTCGGACGCTCGGCAACGGACTCTATTTATGACGGTCCGCAGTGTCAATCTCCTTCCTTCCTCTCTCCTTTCCCTCTCTCCATCTTCCTTCTTTCCTCCCTCCCTCCTTCCTTCCCTCCTTCCCTCCCACCCTCCCACCCTCCTTCTTTCCCACTCTCCATCCTTCCTTCCTTCCATCCTCCCTCCTTCCTTGCCACTGCTAAGTGAATCACTGTGGTTATTAAGTGAGCCCCGTGGTCATTAAGTGAATCCAGCTTCCCCATGGACTTTTGTTTTGTCAGGAAGTCCCAAAAGGGGGTCACGTGACCCCGGGACGCTGCAACCATCATAAATACGAGTCAGTTGGCCAAGGGGATGCTGCCCCAACGGTGTTAAGCGTGAAAAGTAGTCCTAAGTCACTCGTTTCAGTGCCGTCGCAATTTCTAATAGTCGCTAAACAATTTAGTGACCATAATTAGAGCGGTGCGGTGGCCTAGAGGCGGAGCTCTCGCTTCACAATCAGGAGGCCGTGAGTTCGATCCTAAGTAGAGGCAGATATTTCTCTCTCTCTCTCTGGGCACGATGAGAATACCTCTGCCGAACAAAACTCCGCACCGGCGACAGGAAGGGCGTCTGTCCAGCAAAACGCTCAGTTCCATTTAGTTGCCCAGAGACACGCACCCCGCAAAGGATTGTGGAATCATTAAAAGAAGATGATGACTAAACAAACTGTTATAAGCTGAAGATCACCTGTATTAGAAGAACCCCGGGGCAGGTGTGTGTAGGTGTGTGTGTGTGCGTGTGCGTGCGTGTGTGTGCGCGTTGCCTGCCGCTTACCCCTTCCTCAGCCAAAGACGTGAAGAGCTTGCAAAGAGCCACGATGCCATTGTATTCCGTGATGGGAACCAACTCCTGGCAATTCTCCTTTTTGAAGTTCAGGATCTGGTTGGTGAATTTGTCAAACATGCGTTGCAGGGTTTCTGTTTCCACCTGGGAAGGGAGAATCGGAATAGAGCTGGAAGGGACCTTGGAGGTCATCTAGTCTGAGCACCCTCCCCCCACCCACCCCCCCCCCGCTCACGTAGGAAGCCCTGGCCTATACCATTCCAGGCAAATGGCAGCCCAATCTCCTCTTAGAAGCCTCCAGGAATGGAACGCCCACAACTTCTGGTGGCGAGCAGTCCCCCTGGTTAATTGTCCTCCCTGTTAGGAAGTTTCTCCTTCTCCTGGGTTAGTTTTCCATCCATTGTTTCTCCTCCTGCCTTCTGATGCGTTGGAAAATAAAGTTGACCCCCCCACCCCCACCCCTTCCTTGGGGCACCCCCTAAAATACAGGAATACGGATGTCACTCCTGGTCCTAGGTAGATAGGTAGGTAGGTAGATAGATAGGTGGATGGATGGATGCATAGATAGATGGATGGATGGATGGATGGATGGATGGATGGATGGATAGATAGATGCATAGATAGAGATAGATAGATAGATAGATAGATAGATAGATAGATAGATAGATAGATAGATGATAGATGATAGATAGATAGATAGATGATTGAAAGAAAGAAAGAAAGAAAGAAAGAAAGAAAGAAAGAAAGAAAGAAAGAAAGAAAGAAAGAAAGAAAGAAAGGATTCTTTATTGGCCAAGTGTGATTAGACACTCAAGGAATTTGTCCTGATGCGAATGCTGTCAGTGTACATAAAATAAAAGGTACATTTGTCAAAAGTCAAGAATCATAAAGTACAACGCCTAACAATAGCGATAGGGTACCATAAGCAATCAAATCATGCTAGGAAACAGTCCATAAATAATAAAAAATAAACAGCTGATAAAAATGGAACAATTAATGCAGCCTTGATTTATCCCACAGGCAGTTGACTGCAGCGAGTTGGCCTGGACTCTCGAGGGAAGCCTCCGCTTTCTCCCTGATCGTCTTATGTGATGCTACCGGATGGTCTTGAGGATGCCACCTCTTCAAGTTTCTCCTTCCACACAACGGGTGTGCCCCCAAAAGACCTTGAGGTGTTCTTTCTTCCTCTGAAATCACTCCTCTATGATTTTGGGGAGGTCCCACCCTCACAACGTATAGGACTGTGGTGGCTAACCTTTTGGGGCTCCTTCCTGTGCCAAAAATTGGGCACACGCTCGTGTGCCATCACCCAGAAGGCAATGCGCTCCCCCATGCCCCCTACACATGTGCACACAATCCCCGCCCACCCACCCCTGCCACCCCCTTACCTGCAC